TCCCGATTGCTTCTGGAGTTTATTGACAACCTCGCGCACGCATCCACTTCAAGCATCCTACCGTTTGCTGAAGATTTCAAGATTTGTTGCGATTCAGGTGAATGCCGACCAACATCAGTGGTCAATATAGAATGTGCCTTATTTTAACCTGAGTAAATGCAAATTACCATCCTTACGACATCAGCTAAACTACTCCTACCGACTAAGGCGCAAGTACTGCAGCCATTGTCCGCCGAGCGTTATCTGGCCGTGCTGGTTCATGTGGACACGGGTTATTCCCGGCAGTCTGAAAATGCATCGAAAGCTGGTAATCGACACGTCGGGTTGTTGTGACGGGCCTTCGGACACATGGACATAGCAGTTTTGATAGATATTCAATGCAAATGTTTGCCCCCATATCAAATACGCAATTCAAACCTGGTCTCCATGGCTGGAACACGATCTCACTGCACTGGAGCAGCCTCAAACTCGGGCATCCAAGTACGTACTTGGACTGCATAATATCCCACAACAACAGAGGCTGAAATGATTGGGGGTATTAAGCAGACGATATCGCAACTTACGAGGTGACCTGATAATGGTATACTTGATGCTGCACGACCCACAGCATATGCGCCGCTCCTTACTGCAACTCAGCTACCATACAAAACTGAGGGGTCATTTAATTAGACTCGTAGAACAGTACAGCCTTTTACAGTGCCGCAGGAATTTCGTTTCCATTTGTATGTCACCCGTGGAAGGCTCACCCTGAATCAGTCATCGCTGCACCGACAGTAACAATATCTAAAAGGCAGTTTGATAACGCACTCATCCACTTTCACTTTGTTACTTAATAATACGTCCCATCCTACCCCTGGAGTGTATCGCTAATTTGATTTCAAGATTACCGCTATCACCTAACTAAAAAGTGTGTGGGCTTCGTGTGATGAAATTGGCATTGCACTCCAAAACTGATGGTAGAACAACTGATCAAAACGGAGCACAAAAGCCATTCGAACTACTTTTAAAGGCGATAGACCCCCGGGCCCCAGAAAAACAAAGTAATACTGAGCAGGCAACTTGCATACCAACGCAATTCCATCAACAACTAGCTCAGGTCAGAGACAATGTAAATACACACCGGCAGTTGAAGGATGACTGGATGCTCACCACCTTGCTGGCCCTGAGAACTCTACTTAACAATCTGAGCAGGTCCTAGAGCCTGGGTCATCAGTTTTACAAAAAGACGACCCTGAAAGGGTCGGCGTAGACCCTCACCGGAAAGCAGCATTCACAAACCCGCTTCTAACCACCGATGTCCTCGCCTGGTTGGATACCAACGCACAAGGCCTTCTCAGCAAACTGAAGGAACTACGTATTCATCAGATTTCCACGCCTTGGGACATAGTTACGGTTACGGAAACATGGCTGCACAGAGATCACGGATGCTGAGATTGCTATACCAGGCATGACTTCCATACGAAACGATCGACCTAGCAGAGGAGGCGGACTTTTCCTGTATTATCGATGCAAGTTACATGTTGATAATTTTGACGACCCAGATTGTCAAGTTGCCCAGCGTCTTTGGTGTCATATGCACACAAGACGTATGGATGTGTTTACCATCAATACATTACCACCCTCCAATGTTCACCTTGCAAATGGATCAGTGCCTAGCTTCTGCGATGAAGCGAGTACTGACACGACCATACAGTCATGTTTTTCTGGTAGAGTATTTAACCTTGACGCAGTCAAGGTCTCAGCATCGCACAGCGAACAGTTCAAGACTAAATTGCAAGAGGTGATTGCCGACATACCCCTGTACAACCATCTCACGTCTCCCACACGATTTTGAAAGGGTGATGTACCATCTGTTTTGGACCTTGTGCTTACCAACGATGAACTAATGGTCGACACCATGACCATGGATGCACCACTTGGCCGCAGCGATCACGAGATATCGCTCTGCTGTTACATCTGCTACCTGTAGTAGATCAGTGAGAACAAGCACTAAACCTATACCGTTACACATTCCGATATCCTGTGTGACCTCCTTCAAGAAACCGACTGGTCCTTCCTGGCCTAGCGGCCGCCGATGTCGCTTAGATATCGTTTGTCACCCAATTCACTTAGCCAGCTGCAAATGCGTCAGAAAGCAAAGTGCTTTGCCCGAATCAACTGAACTCGTTTCTGAGGAACAGCAACAAAATATGCATGGCCTTAAGGGATTCAGTCTAGTGCGCTTACACAGTCTCTCCAAATAACCTGACCTGGGGTGCTTACACAACTCAACAAATCCACTACGTCAAGTTGATCCGCGAAGACATACTCCAGCACCAACAGAATTTAACGGCGAAACTAAGTACAAATCCCAAGTGGCTGTATTGACATGTCAACAGGCTCCGGAGGATGTATCGGGAGATCCCACTGTTCCGCAAAACAGATGGTCCGGAGCAAACTATACAAGATGCGGCCAACATGCTTCACCAACACATTGCTCACAGTTTCCAGAGAGAATCCCCATTTCATCCACTTTTGACACAGCTCCCAACGCCACCAGGATTAAACCACGTACCGTTCAGAGCAGCCAATGTGATGAAAACGCTAACGTCATTGCGCGTGCACAGCTCATCTGGCCCGGACAACAACAAACCAAAGGCATTTAAGACAGCAACCATGAACCTTTCCGAACCTTTAGCTCAGTTTTTTCAATGTTGCCTCGGTGAAATGAAGGTTACCACAATGAGGAAACATGACACAGTCATTCCTATTTACAAAAGTGGCAATCGTGCGGCGCCATCGAACTACCATCCAATCACTATCCTTCCAGTTATATCCAAATTAATGGAATGCATAATCGCGGAGGCGCTCATAAAATACCTTGAAAGCAACATTCCGCCGAAGTCGGTCTTACACTAAAAACTTTCTTCTAGCCAGAGCAAGCTGGACCGAGTCACCCGATGTCAGAGTGGAAGTCGAACTTATCTACCTGGACTTCACGAAAGCGTTCGATCGTTTGGAGCACCGCGTTCTCCTGCGCAAACTTCGAAGCCATGAAATCAGTGACCCTGTGCTCGGTTAAATCGGCAACTTTCTCATTCAACGTCAGCTGAATGTGGGAGTACATAGCACCATTTCCGACCCAATTGACGTCCAGTGTGGCATGTCCCAAGGATCGGTACTGGGGCCACCTTTATCCCTTAACGAGCTTGCTAGTGTAGTGCAGTCGAAATTCTACTATTTGCAGATGATGTCAAAATTTGACATGACATCAGGATATCGAATGATCACTCAGCATTGCAAAGCGAGCTCGACAGGGTTTATAGATGGCCATCCCATAGCCTGCTCCAGTTCAACGTGGCGAGGTGCCAAGGTGCGTGAATGCGCTTTCAGCTTACCCATTAATATTGATTTGAGGACCAGCAGTTGCCACGTGCTTCGCAGGAATGCTACCTTGGGGCGATCGTGCAGGACGATCTTGGCGGCTCGAGACAAGTTGAAAAGGCATCAAGAACCCAGCCAACAACTTTGACTCTTACTGAGGGCTTCAAAAAGTTTGAGCTATCTATCTTTCCGCAAATACTGAGCGCATACGTGAGGTCTCCTGTGGAAAATGGATCCAGACTTGGCGTCCTTGGCGCATGCGCGACGTCGATGCACTTAAAGCTCCACAATCTAGAGCAAACCAAACTCGTTAGAGGATTGTTTCATCTTGTCCACCAGCGCAGACTGCATTCGCTGAGATTGTACAGTGGTGAATATAGACGTCAGCGAGTAGACCTTTTCATGGTTTACTTAATACTGACGAACCCAATTCACATATGTCGCAAACTGCTGTTGCCTGGCCAAAACATCAACCTGAGATGCAGCCAGCTCAAACTGGCTACGCGCTACAGCAGAATTGATTGTGTAAAAACGTTTTTCCTCTCCGTGTGTCTTGTGCCTGGAACGCCTTTCTGACTTACGTCATCCTTGCTCCTACAGTACCGCTTTCAAAAAACGCCTTGATATCACGCTTTGCAACTTGTATTACTTGATGTAGGCCTTTTCACTCGGGGGAGGAAGTAACGCAAATCAAACCATGTGCTCAAAGGACCTCTGTGCAACCTTGCCTTGATGATACATGCAAAAGTGTCTTGTGAGCAGCATGGGTGTATCTAAACCGGAGTAACTTATCACATCGGTCAAATGTAGGAATATGCAAATGAGCGCTGTTATTTACGTGTATAGGGCCCACAGATTCACCGAACTATAACTGTTCACGATCCTATTTTGTGTGGGCACATCCAATTCTCATTTTAAACGACCGTTAAATCGGTAGACGCTTAAATGACGATTTACTTGTTTGTTGATCCGTTTCGTGTTTACTTTCGCTTCAAGCGTTGATTGAGTGCAGTGAGGTGACGTTTTTATCATGTTTGCGACGCTCGGACAACGTATTCCGCATGCGGGCTCTCTTACGCGCCAAGAATTTTCAACGCAGGAGACCTGATCGCTGGTTATATTTTCTTGAACCGCTTCACTCTGCCTCAAACAACCATGGTCATCTATAATGAGCTTGACATAGAACAATGTCCGTGAACGAATTTTAAGTAGCAAACCTTTTAAGTGTTTTTAAGGTATTCTACGCATGTATTCAAATGGCGCAAAGCCGAACCTCTAAGAATCAAGGCCCCTGTGAAAACATAACCCATCGAATATCTGGCCATCTAAATGAAGGTAACGTACGACTTATCGATTTTAATTAAATTTATACAAATTAAGTGGATTAAACGAGACAGATCGTCAGAATTTCGGTTGTATACAGGTGAATCTAATGGTAACCTAGCCTTGAATGCTAAGGATTTCAAAAATATCCAGTGAATGCCTGTGAGCACCAGATGATTAGCAAGTCTAATGCAAACCAAATGTGTAACCATTAAACTTTCTCGCAAAATGCATCCAAAGATCACATGATCTATAAACGATGAAAGCGCACTGGTATAAATGTGTCTAAAAATTTCCCGTAAAACAAAATGCTAATGGCGTGCATTACCTTCACAGGTTTGTTTCTGCTGCTCAAGCTCGCAGCTGGCATGCAAGACTCCGCATACACATACTGCTGTGAGTTCGATTTTCTATATGAATGCCACAAGCGGTGTAGAAAATTGCATCAATAAATTATGGTGGTCAACAGCTACGCGTACAAATTATTTCTTATTTATGCCTTGAACTTTTACTTTTTCACGTAACGCTAGATGGCGGACCAGATACCGAAGTAAAGAGTCTGCAAATTCAACACTGTGAAGGCAGTTATGGTGTTTTTGGATCCCACGGTCTTGGTGAAATTGAGATCAAATTCGAAGAAAGTAAGTTCCCTATTGTTTACTGGTAGAATTACTTCTTGAGTCATTTAGGTAACCTTACTCGTTCAACCCATTCTCTCTTATTTTCTAAATAGAGCAACAATTAAATGAAATTCGGGTACTCCTTACCGCAGAGGCTTCCGGCGTTCCGTTTGTTATCTTCGATCTGGATAGAGACTGCTCGAATTGGGAGCTGACAGAATGTGTCATATCCAAACATGGGGATGAGTATAGAATTCGACACGAATTCATAGTCACTAAAGAGATGCATGCGGTGAGTTAACCACACTTGAGGGAACACAACCCACCAGTAACCATTGTATTACCTCACCGAGTCTCGGCTAAATGGCGAACTTATATTCGTTGAATTGTCGCATGAAGAAATGTATTGCCCTGTGTAGAAATGGGCATACTAGTATTGCGGTGACCAAACTGTGATGCAATAATTTTGACATTCATACTGGGTATATTATGAGTAAACACGACATTTCATTATATATCTGTTCTTTATTAAATGCATCCATCCTGTCTACCTTTTAGCACATGCACACGTTGAAATGGCGAATACTTTCAAATGATGTGCTTATACTTTGCGTGCGTTTCTACTTTCAAGGATTTGTTTGCCCTGGATGATAGCGTGTATACGGTTGTGTGTACTTCTTCGTAAATACACGTTTTCTCCCAACTACCTTATGTAAATTGAATAAACGTTCGAGAGACCCGTCGTGATTTACCTGTCAACCGCATTCATTCGGGCCTAACCAGGGTCTGTATGGTGGTCATGAAACACAAGTTGTGGAGGATGGGACCACAGTGACATGTTAACAGAGGAATAATTAAGATGTTTGAGACAGCTAATCCTAACACAGTTGATAAAGTTGTAGTGAATGGGGGCGACATTGAAAGAGTAACGACTAGCGTAGAGTGGATCTCACCGGATAGAAGCAAGTGATGAGAGAGCAGATGAATGGCTGGTGTTGCGCGCTCGAAAACACCGCACTCCACGGCAGAAAACACTCAGTACTCACTTGTTTCATCAGTTACGGTCCCAGTGATCGAATTGAACGAGGTTAATTATCATGTGAACTTCCAATCGCAATACTCTCATACAAGCAGTAATTCAAAATGATCCTTCAATCCACAATTGATGAGTTATTGTAAACAGCAAAATGCATGGATTGTAGGTACATACAGATCTCGAGAAAACCCAGCGTTAACTAATACTGAACGAGTAAATGTTTCTGTTCTAGTAGTGGTCTGTACCATAGGATACAGCCTGTGTAAAGTAAATTCTAGTAGCCCGATCATGCGCCGCCACCTTGGGTCCATGTGACACAAATTCGGTAGAAGGGTATGATTAATGTAATTCACAGTAGCCCAATTTAGTTAAAAAAGTATTGAGTTAAGAGTTTTGTTTCGAGAAAGCAAGAGAAAAAGTAGGATGTGCATTAATAATCAACCAAGCATTATCCGTCTCAATACGCAGAACTATGGGTTTACAACTGTCCGGAATTCACACAACCAATGGGAAGGTAATGGCTGTGTTTCAAGCAGCCAATGAAAAATGAGTACAGAACGTCGTCACTATTCTACCACGTCAACCACTAATCGCTTCACAATGGCAGCGTCACACAGGCTGGTACCGATCGACAGACCTCCGGTGGTCTGATGAACCAGCGAAGCTGACTTCGTGGTAGCAGTGATACGGCTTGGTATTCACACGTTGTTTGGTGTGACCGGGTAGTTGGTCCATTGGCCATGGAAGGGGACCGGTATAAACGACAGAGTCGTTTTGGTTCTGCCAAGTATGTAAGGCCATCGCAGTCGTTAGCCGTCTAACTGTGCTACTGAAGAAGTGTGAAATACTAACAGAAGCAGTCGGACAAGTGGTGAGCGTCAGCATCATACCAATTGGAGGAAACGCATCAACACAAGTATGTGCTAAACAACCCAAATTCCCCATTTAGGCCGAAGAAGTGAGCCATGCGTCCCAACATCTCAGGCTGCACCAGTACCAACTCACTTCTCCCTCTCTTCCCCATTAGTAAAAACACTGCCTGCAGCTTGCCAGCTCTAACTTCTCTACTGTGTGTTACATCTAGTATTTTGTTCGCTATGCATCAGACCCCAAGCTGCAGTAAACCAGCCATAGTGATAAACCAGGTAATATACGCATCGGTTGCCGCCAAGCACACACCGCACCGAGCACCGGTAACCTTGTTGGCCGGACTAGAGCAAATTGAAATGTCGCAGCACGGATGGCCGCCATCAGTGCCGATCATAAATTCACAAAAAGCACCGGAAAATAAGGCTCCAAAACCAGTACCCACCAGGTGGAACCATTGTGGCCTAAACTTCGTGGACGCTAGTGTCCCTGAATAGAAATCCAATAAAATTAAGAGTAAGCTGACAGATATTCGAAATCAATGGAATTCCATCTGTACAATGATCGGCTGATCCCAAGACAACAAAACGCCTCTCGCGTCACCCAAACGCACTGCACTACGGTGAATCCCGGTTACTTCGTGTAACACTAAACTCGACGATGAGACAGAGGCCGTTTTCTGGTCTGCGAATCGACTCCGCAACAATGAACAATGAATTTATACGGGTTAAGAAGCGCTACTTTACAAGTCCCGTTGGACAGTTGGTGGGGATATCAACATAACAATAATGATGATAAGGATAGTAAAATAGTTAATAATTTAAGTATGAACTGAGGACTTATCGTTTGCTCCGCTGTAGTCCTGCGATCCTCTTAGATTCACAGCACCCACAGTTAACAGCAAATAATTCCATAGTATACTCCAGGTGTAGGATAGAGACGTAGTGTTAACTAACAAAGTGTAAGTGGATGACTTCATCGTCCAACCGTCTTTTAAATACTGTTAGTGTCGGTGCAGGGACGACCGATTCTAGGGGAGCATTCCACGTTTGACAGACAGGAATGGAAAAGAAATTTCTGTGGCACTAGGGACGACTGTAGTGTTCTGCGAGTATTAATAAGTGGCCCCTCAGGTTTGTATTGCTGCTGAGTTGCAGTAAAGGGCGGCATACATGATGTGAGTCTCGCAGAAACAATTATGCCATAATCAGGTCACCTCGTAGTCTGCGATAGCTTCCACTGAACACCCCCAATCGTTGCAGCCTCTCCTGGTAGGAAACATTCCGCATTCCAATTACCTTTTTAGATGCCCGGCGTTGTGGCTGCTCCAGTGCATTAATCCGGTGGAAAGAAAGTTTAGCGGACCCTACTAACAGAGAGATCAACGTAAATTGTCAAGACATGAAAACTGTGATTGCTCCCGGTGTCCATGAGCTTACTGATTCCTCGTTCGACTATGCTCAGGTACACGACCGGGATCAATGGCACTACATCCGTGAGACCTTTTCTCTGGAAAATATCGTGGCCACCTCGTTGACAATGATCCCCGTATAACAGAAGTATAAGTGTTGTGGTCCCATACTATTTAAATGGGTGTTCCAATCAGAACTAACAGCACAAACTCTGCTAAAGAAATGGACTAAGATCCGTACCAGTGTGGAAACAAAAATTCGTCCGAAAGCAGCAGCAACACCAACCACCTTCTAATGACAACTCAGTGGGGGTGGAAATCTCAAGGAATACACCAACTTAGGCCCCGACTCGGTGATGGTTTCAACAGTAGGAATAACATCCGGAGGGACACAGCAGAGCACCAGCGACCTCCGGGATCCGTGGCATGTTATACTGGAATATATACCAAATTCGTCTCGATAGTTAGCAACCTATCCAACAAACCATTAGGCGCCGACCTTACGTCGGTCTGCGTAAGCTCAATTGCTTCACCCATTCCACCCAACACACTTTTGGTCTCCGAGAAGCTCTCATGCATGTACACAAATGACCAAGGCCTACAAGTAAATTAGCTGTACTACAGGTTCGACAAGCGTCAGCAGCTGGGGACCTCATTGCCATCACGGAAACATGGTTGCGGATTGAGATAACGGATGCCGCAATTGCGCTAACTAGTATGTCCGCCTTCCGCAATAATCGAGCCAGCAAAGGTAGTGGGTAGTCCTCTCGTGACAACCTACATTGCGAAACCCTACACTACTCTGAAACCGATGTACCCCACTCCATTTGTTGCAGCATCCGGCTGAGAAGGTGCGACCTTGCCTGGTAGCTGTTGTTTACCGCTCACCATCGTCTACACCTGAGATGCACGGCAACTTAGTGGCTGCGTTGAGGCAGGTGATATACAGGAAGTACAGTCACTTTCTAATTGCTGACGATTTTAAGTTACATGCTCCAGAATCCTAAGCCACACAAGGAGAGCAATTCAAAGCAGACCTGCAAGAACTTGTCTCAGATTTTCAGTTTTATAGCCACATCACTTCACCCAGCAGATTCAGGTGAAATAACAGGCCATCCATATCAAGCCGGATATTCCCTAATGAAGACCTGATGATCAAGAGCGTGACAATCGATACTTCTTTAGACCGCAGTAATCACGCAAGTTTACATTTTATTTACATTTGCTATGCTGAATACCCCAAAGACAGAACACAAACTATTCGTACCATAACCAGATACGACCCTCAACCCGACTCGTTGAGGCGACCAATTGGAGGTTCGTAACCGAAGAGGCACCGGACATTGCCTGGTAACGTTACGGCAGTAGGTTTAACATCTTGGTTAGTGAAGCATCCGAAACCTGGACTATTAGTTCGAGAAACACTGCGTGCTATATACGCAGTAGAACATGTAAATACGTGGTATACCCACAAAACCGATCCGAGTCCGAGGAACTGGAGGGCCTATGTTGTCTAGCGTAACCACTGTGCTTCATTAGTGCGCTTGGACAAAGTAGCTTAACAACATGCCTTAGCCAAGCAATAAACTTCAGATCCTAAGCTTCTAAACAAGCAGGTGAACAGCGTCCGCTAGGTGAAACGTGGATTTCCTCCCTTCAAACAGCGGGAAATTAGATCACTAAGGATGAAACTGAGTGCCTTTGGTCCGTCTCGCCTTCCGGGCTGGAGTCCAGGTGACTCACCTTGTGTTTGGCTCGAAACTTTACAATACATGACTACCAACCGACACTACTGGCGCGTCTGCTTTCGTCTCCTTGTCGGATTGCCTGTTTAAAGTGTGTTTGGTGCTGAATTATCTGCGGGGTAATGGCTGATTATGACGCGTGGCAGTGAAAGCCGCAGGGAAGCTGTCTCGCAGATGCCGCCTTATCATTACACGACAGCCAGCCATTTGTGACGATATGTTGTTAACACAAGGTGTGAGCGCCTTGAGCCTGAATGTTTGCTTGGAGCATTAAGTTTTTCAGGTAAGTCCTCCTTATCTCCCTCATAGTATTCTTTATTTCAAATGTCATCATTGTTGTATGACAGCAAAGCATCAGTTCAAACGGCTGATGTACTGCTGTTGTTTATTTTTATTCTTTCTTCAAACAGCAGATTGTCTAATTCGGACTGCCAAAGAAGCGTCGAACGTTCTGCAACAACAATATGCACCAACCTTTTATTGCATCCCGTGGTCTCCTGAAGCGTTGGAAACTATAGTGCTTCCACCAGGACTCACTCATATAAATTTTACGGCATACACAATGATGCGAAAGCTGCTATTCATGCGCCTG